GTACCAAGTGAGTAGGTTTTAGTACTACCAATAAATCTTAACTAAGATCTCGATACATCTATAGTCATTTGAAGCGGTATAAAGATTAGAAGTTTAATTTTCTATAAAGAGTCGACTGGAAAGATTAACGATACATCTGCACTTTAATTATCCAGGATGGAATGCAATTTCGATCTAGAATATTTCTCATCAGGTGTAACATTGCCACTCTGCTACAGCCATGGATACCAATGGATTAAAGGGCACATTCTTATATGGTAGGACTAGTGTAAATAAGATACATTTGTATTTGCCGTTGCAATCTTATTCGTGATTGGTATTTTCGAAGCCTTCTGAATTAATTTAGAACGATTTCGTTGATTGCAATGGCAAATACAAACTTTCCTTATTAACAGTAGCCTCAAAATACTTAAATGATCATGGACTACGTTCAAGGCTGGTAAACCTAGGTTAATCTCTAAAATAGCTGAAACGGCATACTGAAATATCAGAGAATACTTATGTGATAGCATCAAACATAGTGCTGCACCCTACCAAATAGACGCGAAGTTGCCTTAAAGCCTCATTCAACAAAAAAATAAATGCTTTGCTTCTCTTCCCACATCTATGAAAATGTTGAATTAATTTATATTTTGTTATTTATTGATTTATCTGTATTTTATACCATTTCAGATAGAAACTCCACTTCAGGGTCCAAGAGAGAGGTATATATATGAGTCTTTATTTTCTATATAATTTTTACCACTGTGTGCCCTTTGCCCATAATTGATGCAAACATGTTTTTTCTCTTTTTCTCTCTTTATTTTCCGCTCTCCCAGCATATTTCTCTTACAAGTGTGTTTAAAAAATGTCAAGGTATTTTATTGCCTCGCCATAAACGATATATTTTTTATTTCCTCATAGGCAAACAGTTTTTCAGTTATGTTACTGATTCACTCCTGTATTTATCACAGGTCGGGATTCCACCCATCGGGGAAATGACCGTGGACCTTATTTCTTGAGTAATATAATCATTTGTTTATACCATTTCGAATAGACTCCTAAATCTATCACGTGAGGACGGTTCTCGTTGCGTAATTTTTGATGTGGCCTCTGGCACAGCGATAGTTGAGGAGGACACCATGCTTTAACGATAGAAGAGCATAACTGGCTTGCTATTTTGCACTTTTCTTCTCAGCTACTTTCAATCAAAACAGACGCTAGATCTTGGTCCTCATATCTACTATTGATTTTAATAAATTAAATCGTTTTTTACTTCCCCACTTTCTTTTGTGTCTGGGGTAAAGATTCGTGCATATTTTCATATTCAAAGGTAAAATTCTCCATGACTCAGTTAAAGTGAGTTCATATAAACTAGTTGCATATATCTTGCCGACCCATCTTCTATCTATCTGTGAGAAATAAATGACCCTCTAGGTGAAGTTGATTTTGATTGAATTTCTTTGATGGTTGACAAGCCTTTCCCCGGAAATAATCAAACATAAAACATTTGACTGTAAACCTAGGGAAATATCTGTCTGGTGCTTCATCAAATGCTGCCCTAAATGTCTCGGTCTAGTCATCAAGTAACTAGTTTGGTTGGCGTTATTAATTTTACGGGTACACTTGTCGTCATTGCTTCGGTTTCAAACGCAGATCACTTTGCCATGGCTTATACTTATTTTATTTTACGCTATTTACCTTTACATGTTATTGTTCTACATTTAATCCGTTCCACTTTGCATTTTTTGCCACACATAAAGATCATTCATTCGAAGCAGAATCTCTTTGATACTAGCAAAATTAGTTGTCTTTTCTTAAAAGGAATTTCCTATCCTATATCTACCTTATGGGATTTATTTTTAAGTAAATAAGTCTTTTTTAAGATTTATCCGTTTTTTATTTATTTTTTAATTTCTTTAAATGCTATTTTGTAGTTAGCATATTTGACTATTATGAAAAAACTATGTTATCGCCTAGCTGATGCGTGATACTTATCAACACTTCTGTCTCAACTTCCTTTACTATAAATAGGCTGCTTTTCCTCTCAGGCCTATTGGAAATTATAGATTCTGATGAGAAATAAATTAAATATATTCACAGTCTTGTTTTAACCTTCATTCTATTACTAATTAATATTACATACTTTCTTTAGGCATTCCATATTATCTTCAGCTGTACTAGGGACGTGCTCATAGTCAATCCAATCGAGCCAAATTCTCGACAAAAATATTTACCTTTTAATTCTACGTAAGTTCCTTTACTGCTTGTCATATGCTTAATCCTATGATTTTTCCCCTTTAAGAGTGTCGAACATTGCTTTTTATCGTAAATATGGAGAACAAGGTGGTATGGACCACTATTTGGTCGCAGTTTCCTTTAGCTTTATAGTTTTCGTTCGACCTTCCTTTCGCAACTTGTTCAGAGCGTCAGGGAGACCTTGTCCTGTGTCCTCTGCCATAGTATTAGTGATTTTAAGCTTCGGACCATCGACTTGGTATATTCCAAAACGTTTCGTTCTCATCGTCAGTGAGAGGCGTCATCACTAGCACAAAGTTACAACTTTTCAAAGTGACAAGGGAAGGCAATCCCCTTGACTAATTTTATGTTAAACCGCTGTAGCATCACTCCTCTTTCATATTTTTTGTTCTACCTTCTAGTGCTACTTCTCTTTCTCTCAGCTCTATTTCATATGACCAATCTAACTATTCACACAATACTGTGCTTTCGTTTCCTCTAATGTCGCCCAAGTGTATGTCGCTACAAGTGAGTTTAGTGAAGTTTAATAATCTCCACCGGTAGCAGGTGCCATTTTTAGGGTTCCTGACATACATACCCCACTTTTCTTCTACTTAGCTTGATAATTGGTCACTGCTAAACATCAAAATCACTGTCTGGCTGATTAAGAGCCTTCAATTTCCGTCCCTAATTACACCATATTCGAAGATTTAGTGCATCTGATGCCAATGCCAGTGCCTGGGAATCTTCCTTTCCCTAGGCTTCAAACATATGATTCGGTTATCCTCTTCCTCAGTCCCACCTGCATTGTGTCTCATTCTTCAGGGCCATGTGTCTGGTTTAAGTCATAACCACTGGTGTGAAAATGCATCGCTTTCGCAGTTTGACCTCCCCAACAGTTTAAGTATAGTCTTTCACTTGCACACTCACAATTATATTTCACTTTAATAGTAGAACAATTATCGACCTATTGCGATTAGTTTGGCTATAAAAGCCACTATTAATGGCCCTACTATAAGGACCTGTTTAGCATCCTCAAATTCGGCGCATTTGATTGCTATTTGGTTTTTACATTTAAACAAATATAATGTAACGTTAGCAAAGGGTTAACTGTTACATTTCATCGCATCTCTTTCTTGGATGCATTCATAATTGTAACTTAATATATTTCAGGCAATTACGGCGTCGCAGGCGACACAGAGAACTGCGTCTGAAACGTCGATTCCACTCAGCAGACGTCATACATCGTCCGCGCTCCCCTTTCCATAAAAGAAATAAATTCACTTGTCCAAATGCGAAGGGTTCTTCAGATTCTACACGATCTCAATATATCAGTCACTCAGTCGATGGTCGTCAGAGCCATCCAATTTTACCGGCTATTGGAAACAAAGAAATCAAATTCGCTTTTACTGCCGACAGCGAGGGGGACAATGAATCGGCGGCTCCGGTAGACATAGGATCTGAGCGTTTTGCTTCAGCAGATACTTATACTCAACCAAATTCATCCATCCTAATTTCTCGCAGAGAAATTCGCCTCAAACCGGATAGAAGTGGGCGTGCTCGCTCAGCTTCGGGCTGGACTAGATCCAACCGCGACTCGAATAATC